GCAGCTGGGTGTGGTGGCGCACGCCTTTAATCCCAGCACTGGGAAGGCAGAGGCAGGCGGGATCTCTGTGAGTTCAAGGCCAGCCTAGTCTACATAGTGAGTTCCAGGACAGCTGGGGCTACAGAGAGACCCTGTCTCAAAAAGACAAAAAAAAAATTATAATGCAATTATTGGGGGTATGGAGGGCATGTATATGGAGGGAGATTTGAGAGCTACAGGTTTGTATTCCGTGCACAGAACTAAGCAATCATGCTTAAATTTTTTTAAAAAAAAGTTGTATAAGGCTGTTGTTTAGAAATACAGATGATGATACCAAAAGAACCAGCTATGAGAGTTAGAGATGACTGTCCTCAGGAAGTGGATGTAGGAGGAAGAAGCAGAGCTGAGCCCTGCTGTCTGTTGTACTCCATGGCTCCAACTGACATTTAACCACATATGGGTACTGTTTTGGGTGAGAATAAAAATATTTTAAAAAATCATGTTTGATCATTTTTTTCAGCCTGATGGCCAGTCAGATACTGTCACTGCATAGGGAATAATGTGTTTTTAAGCAATTTTTATATAGATAAATGACAACTGTAATATCTGTACCATGTAAACATTGTAGAACAGCTGGAGCAATGACTCAGCCATAAACAGCATTTACTGCACTTCCAGAGGAGTAGGGTTCTGTACCAAGCTCTCACACTGGGTAACTCATAACTGCTTGTGACTCCAGCTTCAGGGACTCTGATGCCGTCTTCTGGGCTCTGTGGGCACCCCCACACTCATGGCATACATTCACATAGACATACACAGATACAAACAAATAAAAACTAATATAAAATGTTTTTAAAAGATAAGTTAATAAATACATTGCCTTATAGTTATCATTTTTTGTGTAAGAACACTAAAAGTTTATTTTTCCAATGATTTCCAGCAGTACAGTATATTGTTATTAACAACAGCTCTCTCTCTCTCTCTCTCTCTCTCTCTCTCTCTCTCTGGTTCTGGTACTGATGACTGAACCAGCCAAGTGCTGTACCACTGGGCTATACCTCCAGCCCTATACCATATATTTCTTGAAAAAAAAAAAACAGCTAAGGAGATGAACATTTTCTTCTATAACTTTCCATAAATGAGTTAGTCATACTGAACTTCCCAGAATACATATTTTAAATATATTGTTATGGTTTATACCTGAACTATCTCTCATGGTCTCATATTTTGGATGCCCAGTCCCCAGCTGATGGAACTATTTTGGAGGCTGTGGAGCTTTTAGGAGGTAGATCCTGGCCGGTGCAAGTGGATCACTTGGGGCAGGCCTTTGAAGGGGAAACTCTAGTCTAGTGCTCTGCTTCTTGGTCTATGCCACATGGAGACCCACCATCACAAGCTCCTGCTCCCATGGACCACTGATGGAGCTGCCACCACCAATGTACTATCCCATCATGATGAATTGAAATCCCTCTGAAACTCTGAGCCCCTTAAATTGTTCTGGTCAAGCATTTTGTCATTGCAATATGAAAAGTACCCAACACGTTAAAAAAAATACTGAGAACTGGGATCATTGCTGAGATAAACCTGGTCATTTGATGCTGAAGTTTTTGGGACTGGTTTGTGAGAACAAAGTGGAAGAGCATGGGGCTTTAGGCCCTAGGATCTGTAAACAGTTTAATGGGCCATTCTGGTGGGAATTGGGAAAAACAGAACATAATAAAAATGAAGTCAGTGGGCTGGAGAGATGGCTCAGCAGTTAAGAACACTGGTTGCTCTTGCAGAAGACCTGGGTTCAAATCCCAGCACCCACATGGCAGCTAACAACTGTCTGTAACTCCAGTCCCAGGGGATCCGACATCCTCTTCTGACCTCCAAGGGCATTGCATGACACGGGTGCACTTACCTACATGCAGGCAACACACACATACACATAAAATAAAAATAATAAATAATTTTAAAAAAATGAAGACAGTAGACTGCAATTTCAGATGGGAACAGGGTCCTATCAGGAAAAACAGACTAGTGGTCATTTCCATTAAATTTTAGGGGTGGGAGGGGAATCGACAACATTCTCCCCCGTGTCCTGAAAATTTGAATGAGACCAAATTAAAAAGGAATAGGCTCATTAATTTGGCAGAAGAAATTTCAGAACAGTAGTATCCAGGCTATAGCATGGTTGCAGCTGGCTGCTCCTTAGCTAGGTTTACAATGAAAGAGACTGAAGGGCTGAACAGGATTTGGAAAGTTTGCAGTTTAGCAAGAGAAGGAGTCTGAGTACAGCTGAAGTCAGAGGTCAGGCAAGTACTGCAGACACAACAGCAGTAGGTGTTGAAGAGATCACTGCCGCTGAAGAGAAGCCATGTACTTTGCATGAGGTCAATAGGGAAGGTGCTTTGAGACCAAGACTCTGCCTACTGAAAGATCCAGGGTGCAAAACTAAAAAGTGTTTGAAACACTTTTATTTAAAAAGAGTCACAGTGCCTTGTTGGAAGAGAGTTGCCTAGGGAAATGTTTTTCCAGATTCAGTCACAGAAATACTCAGAGGCCACTGCACCTATAATCCAAGACTGCAAAACCTTGGTGTTGATCACGCACATCTGGTTTTGTAGGCATGCAGAGAGGAAAGTGATGGAATCAACAAAGCTTGCACCAAGGTTCCAGAGAAAAGCTTGGGAGGAGGCCAGGCAATGTGTAACAAGGTTGCATTCCTTACATGTAGCCCTTGACAAGGCTGTACATGAAACTGTGAAAGGGAAGCCTAAGCTGTAGTAGAGACCCCAAAATGCTGGAGCTGTCAGGAATGTGGGATGTCTGCCAAGGAAAGCTGCGGAGTTGCTGTAAAGAGCTGAGGTCACATGAGCTGCACATGTGGGGGTTGTAGAAGTGAGGGAATCCAAATCTACCAGAGCTCAGATGATTCCATTACCTACTCAATATGTTCATTCTGGGTTTTGGTCTTGCTTTGGTCTAATCTTTCTTTTCTATACCCCAATTCTTCCCTTTGGAATGGGACTGTTACCCTATGCCATTGTATATTGGGAATATGTAACTTGAATTTTTATTTTACTGGGGCTCACAGTGAAGAGTTTGCCTTGAGTGTTCAAAGAGACTTTGAACTTTTGAACAGTATTGGGACCATTGAGATTATGGGGCAGGCAGAGGTTGGTTGAAGTTGGACTAAATGCATTTTACATGCTGAGATGGCCATGAATCTTAGGAGGCCAGGGAAAGAATATCATGGCTTGAATGTGAAATGTCCCCCCACAAGCTCATATATTAGATGCTCAGTCTCCAGCTTGTGTCACTATTTTGAAGGGACAGACCTTTGCATGTTATTCCCACTTCTGGTTTTGGCCTGTTCTTTCTGCTTTCTAGCTGGCCATGATATGAACAAGATGCTGTAGCATGCTTTTACTACCATGAACTCTGCCTGGCCCTTCCCACCACAACACTCTAAAACTTCTGAAACTGTGAGCCAAAAAAAAAATCCTTTCCTCATCCTAGTTATTTTTGTCAGGTATTTTGTTATAGATATGTAGACTGTAGCTAATATGGTTATGATGGTTTGAGTGAGAATGCCCCACCCCCGCCATCAGATCCAAGAATTTGAACACTTACTTGGTCCCTGGGTGTTGGCACTGTTTGGGAGGGTCATGGAACTTTTAAGAGGAGTCATATATTAGCTACTTTTCTGTTGTTGTGATAAAAAAAAAAATCATGACCAAGGCAGCTTATAAAAGAAAGAGTTTATGCCAGGCATGGTGGTGCATGCCTTTAATGCTAGCACTGCTGCCTGCAACATACATCTTTAGCTTGGGCTGGTACTACTCCCTATATAAAACTCTTCCTTAGCAGATAGCTCACAGCTCTAGCATCTCCAACATCTTAGGGTCTCTATTGCCAACCAGGCTTGACCTTCACAGTTTCACACAATGGCTTCTTGGCCTATCCGGGTCTCCTTTATGCAGGGTCTCCTCTGCTTTACTTTACTTTGCCTCAATAGCTCTTTGAAACCCAGGAGGAAGAATCACTGACCCACGTCCCTTGTGCATCTTTTGATAGCCACATTCCGTTTCCAGTCTGGTCTGTCTGCTTCCTGTGCCTGCTTGAAGATGTGAGCTCTCGGTTTTCTGCTCCAGCTGCCTCCTGCCATGACAGACTCTTTTTTTTTTTTTTTTTTTTTTTTTTTTGGTCTTTTTTGAGAGAGGATCTCCCTGTAGTCTCAACTGACCTGTAGACCAGGCTGGCCTTGAACTCACAGAGGTCTGCCTGCCTCTGCCTTTGGAGTGCTGGGATTAAAGTCGAGTGCCACCATGCCTGGTCTTGACAGACTCTTATCCCTTCGGAACCAATATGCTCAGTAAACTCTTCCTTTTTTTTTTTTTTTTGGTCTTTTTTGAGACAGGGTCTCCCTGTAGCCTAGAACTCACTATGTAGACCACGTTGGCCTCGAACTCACAGAGATCTGCTTGCCTCTGCCTTCGGAGTGCTGGGATTAAAGGCAAGTGCCACCATGCCTGGTGTAAACTCTTCCTTTTATAAGTTGCCTTAGTCATGGTTTTTCATTCACAGCAACAGAAAAGTAGCAAAATACAGAAGTATATATCAATTACCTTAATCATAGCTTATTATGCAAGCAAAATGATAATGCCTAGTTTAAAAATCAAATTTGTCAGCCAGGCATGGTGGTGCATGCCTTTAATCTCAGCACTTGGGAGGCAGAGTCAGGCGGATCTCTGTGAGTTCAAGGCCAGCCTGGTCTACATAGTGAGTTCCAGGACAGCTGGGGCTACAGGGAAACCCTGTCTCAAAAAGACCAAAAAAAAAAAAAAATCAAATTTGTCCAGCACAATGGTGCACGCTTTTAATCCCAGCACTTGGGAGGCAGAGGCAGGCAGATCTCTGTGAGCTCGAGGCCAGCTTGGTCTACATAGTGAGTTCCAGGCAAGCTAGGGCTACAGGGACCAAAAAAAAAAAAAAAATCAAATTCATCATAAGTTAATTGTCTACATTTTACTTACAGGAGTGAAATAGTTAGGTGGGAATCTTTGAACTGTAGAACGAAATACGAAGCTCCTGTATTAAAAAAAAAAGTCAAGAAAAAATGGCTTTCTAAATCTATTTTTTAATTTTTTTTTATTTTTTATGTGTATGAGTGTTTTGCCTACATGTATGTAAGTACACCCAAGCATGCAATACCTGCAGAGGCCAAAAGAGGGCATTGGATCCCCTCCTGGAGTTAAGGATGGTTGTTAGGCACCATATGGGTGCTGGGAACCCAACTTTAGTCCTCTGTGAGAGTAGCCAATTCAGTGGTTAACCAGTGAACCATCTCTCCAACCCCATAAATCTATTTTTTGAAGTAAAGATCTTTGTCAACTTATTCCTTACCTCTCATTAAATATTTAAAAATGCTAATCTGAGGGCTGGAGAGATGGCTCAGTGTAAGAGCATTTATTGCTTTTACAGAGTAATTGGGTTCAGTTCCCAGCACCTACATGGAAGTTCAGAGCCACCAATAACTCCAGTTCCAGGGGATCTGATGCCCTCTGCAGGTACCAGACACACATGTGGTACACATACATACATGCAGGTAAACACTCATACACATAAAAAAGTAATAATCTTTTTTTTTTTAAACTGCTAATCTAGATATTAAGTGAATCAATGAGGTTTAAAAGCCATAAGCGTGAGAGGGAGTAGGAGGACATGGGAGGAGTTCGTGGGGACCTACAGGGGATAGAAATAATGCAAAGATGATATTCAGGCATGAAATTCTCAAAAACAAGAAAAATTAAAAATTGAAAAAAGCCATAGGTGTCCATCTATAACTACATGTGTAAGTGTAAGACATGAATGAGATAATCCAAAGTAACAATAAGTTTATAATTACCTGGAAGTGGTCTTGGGAACTGGTTCAGGAAGTATCTCGTATTGCCCCGGGGAAAGCCGAAGTGACTACACAGAAGGGATAAAGACACAATAACAGATTAATACAGCTCACAAGCTCGCTGTTGTCTGTCACTTATCACCTTTGATTTCATGTCCATGCAACATTTCATCAGGTAGTCTCTACTAGTGAAAAAGGTCCACTTTCAAAATTGGACCTTTAAAACAGTCAGCACGTATTTACTTTCCATGGTGAATTTTATAGGCAATATGCTTGAGATATGTGGGAAAATGTCATTTAATTAACCAAATTTGTTCATGTATTAGATTCAACAAATCAATTGGACCATGTGTTGTCTGTCCTTTGAGCATAGCCCAGTACTGGAGATGGAAAACAAGGTGGTAAGATGGATCTGGTCCATGACCAGCTGGGGTGAGAGGCATGTCCAGAAACATTGTAGTTAGATGAAAAATATGGAAAGTAGAGAGAATAAATCCAACAGTGTGGTCTAGAGTTAATCAAAATGATGTGATTGGGCTGGCGAGATGGCTCAGTAGTTAAGAGCGCTTACTGATCAATCACAAGGACCAGAGTTGGGATCAGAGCACCTACAGGCCTCACAAACATTTAAGTCTAGCTCCAAGAATCCAATGCCCCTCTTCTAGCCTGTGCAGGCACCTCTGTACATGTATACATATACAGACACATGAACACATATAAGTAAAATAAAATCTTCTAAAAACTGTTTAATGCTGAGATTTGAGGGAATGTTGGAGATCACTGCCCTGTTTGAACTCTCCAGAAAGCATGCTTGACTATATGTGCAGTGTCCCTTATGTTTATGTTTAGATTAGATAACAAATTATGACTTGTTTACACTGGTGTATGAACATCTGCTCTGTACCTTACAAACCACATTTGTTGCTGATTGTTTCTTTTTTGTTTTTTTAATATTCTACTTATTTTTACTTTATGTGGTGAGTGTATTGCTTGCATGTATGTAAGTACACCCATGTTGTACAATACCTGCGGAGTTCAGAAAAGGGTGTCAAATCCTCTGGAACTGGAGTTTGGACAGTTGTTAGCTGCCATATGGGTGCTGGGAATTGAACCCAGGACCTCTACAAGAGCTGCCAGTGCTCTTAACCACTAAACCATCTCTCTAGCCCTGCTAATTGCCTCTTGAGCTCCTATAGAGGTATGTCCTTTGATCTGCATACAATTTGTTCCTGAATGCCCACTTAAAGCATACCATCCCTGTGAATAAAACCTTGAGAGTTAGAGACTCAGTGCTCTTTGTTCTACAGAACAGGGAGCCTCCTGATCCCTAGCTTTCTTAAACATTAAATTGTCCATGTATGATATTTTATTATTAGATACCTTGCCATCCCTCTTTGTGCCCACCATTACCCAGGACATAGCAAGGAAGGATTTTGGCAAGGACAGGACTTTCCCTAGCAGAGCCGAGGAGAATATGCCTGGGAGGAAGAGCCTTCCATATGAATAGGTCTCTCTGCATGTCTTAATTACTTGTCCCATTGCTGTGATATAATACCCTGACAAAACCAACTTAAGGGACAAAGTGTTTATTTTTGCTCACAGCTCCAGAGGTTTACACTTCACCATGATGAGGGAGATATGGAAGCAAGCAGGGAAGGCATGGTGGCAGGAAGAGGCTGGCTGGTCACGTTGCATGGACTCAGGAAGCAAAGAGCAATGAATGAATGCATACTACTGCTCAGCTCCCTTTCTCACTTACACAGTTCAGGATCCCAGCCAGGGAATGGTGCCGCCTATAGTGGGTAGGTCTTCCCACTTCAATGAACACAATCAAGACAGTCCCTTACAGGTATGTCCAGAAGCCCATCCCCCAGGTGATTCTAGAGTCAGTCAAATTGACAGTGAACACTAACCATCACACTGCCCATCCCATCAGTGAACTTGCTGCAAACTATCTGGCTGTTGTCCCTGTATCTGTAGGTGTCAGTTCAGAGATAAGAGAAGCAAGAGGTGTCAGGACCTGGTGAGGTAGAGAAGAGGGAGGGAGGAGGGAGAAGGGAGGAAGAAGGGTTAGAGGGAGCTTCAGAGCTCCCAGGGCTGTAGGAGCTGGCAGGGAGGAGTTGCATTATAAAATTCTAAGAAGACTGCTTCCTGGAGTGACAGTGTCCCTCCTGTGACTCTCACATCAGGTTTTCAAGAAGCAGTGCTGCTTGCCTTTGCTGAGCATGAAGTGTCCTTAGCCTAGCATCACCTGCCACGTGGAAGTTCGGTTATTGCATTTCACCCTGTGTCTCCAACGATACTAAACCATTTTGATTGTAGAGGCAGCTTCTTTTGGATAGAGTGAAAACAGTAAATACAAATTTGATGAAAAAATAAACACATTGTCTTAGTGCATCTGTGCCTTGTTTATTCCCCAAAGAACAAAGGTATTTTTGTATCATACAGCAGAAGCCCAGAGACATATTTTATGCAAGGATCTTTCTTGGGTCTCTCTCTCTCTCTCTCTCTCTCTCTCTCTCATCAGAGAGAGCAGAGCAGAGGAATACTCCTAAGGGGCTCAGACTGTTGCCTGACCTTTCCACTGTTCAGATAGATCTGGATAGATGGTGGCTCACACCTGATACTGCACTGCTAGTCAAGGGCATGAACTGATTCCTCCTCCTCCCTCTCCCTCTCCCTCTCCTCCTTTATTTTTTTGAGATAAGGTCTCCTGTAGCCCCAGCTGACCTGGAGCTCACTATGTAGACCAGGCTGGCCTCAATTTCAGAGATCCACCTGCTTCTGCCTCCTGAGTGCTGGGATCAAAGAGTACACCACCACACCTGGTTGCAGCCCTATTTCTTGGTAATGGTTATATGGATATTTGCTTTCTATTTACTTCAAACTGTGTATATAGGTTCACCCTTGCTCTGTCTCCTTCACATAGGAGGAGAAAGGAGAGATCAGAAAATGGGACAGGGCTTAAAGTAGCTGTTTGTTCATCTATGCTCAGCAATCCATGTAAGATTTTTGTAACAGTATTATGCTTGATGAACTTACATTGATGCCTTACTAGCACCCAAAGCTCAAAACTGCATCAAGGTTCACTCTTGTACATTCTCTGAGTCTGGACAGATGCACAATGACATGTACATGTACATACATCTCCACCATTATAGATCAGAGTTTCTCCTGCCCTAAAAATCACCTGTGCTGTACATATTCATTCCTCTTCCCCCATAACCCCTGATCTATTGCCCTCATGGTTTTGCCTTTCTCTGATGTCATATGGAGACAAAGTAGGGTAGCCTAACTCCCTTGTCAAGATTTGTCTCTAGGATGTAAGTTGTTTTCAAAGATGCTTCCACCAATGACTCCTCCTCTAAGCTGTCCTGCAACACTTGGTGTGAACAATTTATCTGAACTGGACCAATATATGACCTTCCTGGGGTAATGGTTGTGAGACTTTCCATCCTCATTGGTGAGCCAAATGCAGACAGACTCAAACCAGTGCACATGACCAGACTGCCACAAGGGCAAAAACCAGGTGCCTGGAGCAAAGAATTGACAAAAAGTTAAAGTGTGTGTGGTATGTGTTCTTCTTGTATGCGTATGTTGTATGTGTTCTTCTTGTGTGTGCACGTATGTGTGGAGACCAGAAGTCAACATCAGGGATCTTCCTCAATGGCTTTCCACCTTATTTTTTTTGAGACAGGGTCTCTCATTGAGCCTAGAGCTCACCAATTGGCTTTACTGGCTGAGTGTTTTTCTACCTTCTGGCTTCTTCCAGAATTTTTGCTTTTCTATTTTTTATTTCTCTGGGAAACTCCACAGATCTCCCTTGCCTCTGTCTCTCAGTATTGGGGTTACAGATGTGAATTTCAAAAATTTTTCTTTCTTCTTTTATTTACCTATTTTTGTCTTATGTGTAAGTGCACCCATGTTGCACAGTGCCCACAGAGGCCAGAAGAGGGTATCAGATCCCCTGGAATTGGAGTTACAGACAGTTGTCAGCCACCATGGTAGGCTCTGGGAACCGAACCTGGGTCCTTTGCAAGAGCAGCCAGTGCTCTTAGCTGTTGAGCCATCTCTCCAGCCCCAGTTTCTTTTTCTTTTTTCGTATGAGTGCTGAGGATCCAAACTCATGTCCTCCTCCTTGAGCAGTGGGCATTTTACCAAATGAACCATCTTCCTTGTCCCTGACAAATTTTTAATATTTCTTGTAAAGCATGTCTACTAATAGTAAATTTCCTCAATTTTTGCTTGTCTAAGTTTTTATTTTTCATTCACTTTTATAAGATTGTTTCCCAGGGTACAGAATTCTAGGTTGGTGGCTTTGTTCCCTCTGAACAGTTGAACACTTCATTCTTGCTTCTTCTTGTTAGCAAAGTGTCTACCAAGAAGTTGGGCAGAATGCTTAGCTTGGTCCTGGGTGGATGTTTTTCCACCTCTGTCTTCGTCCAGAATTTTTAGTTTATCTTTTATTTTCTGTGATTTGTGTATATTGTAGTTTTGTTTTGGCTTGGCATTTATCCTGCTTGCTTCCTAGGTCAGTGTTTGGTATTGGACACTAGTGTGAGAAACTCTGTCATAATTCTTTCAAATATTCTTCTCTTATTCCCATTGTGCACATTTTACACATTTGCAGTTGTTTTTGATATTCTGGATTTTTCAGTCTTTACTCTCTTTACTTTTCAGTGCTAGAGAATTCTACTGACATACCCTCGATCTTGGAGACCCTTTCTCAGCCATGTCCATTGCGGTGGTAAGCCCATGGAAGGCATTCTTCACCCACTTCAGTTTTTCTCCCCCCTCCCCCCCTCCTCCTTCTTTTTTTTTTTTTTTTTTTTCTTCCCCCCCCCCCCCCCCCCCCCCTTTTTTTTTTTTTTTTTTTTTTTTTTTGTCTTTTTGGTCTTTTTTGAGTCAGGGTCTCCCTGTATCCCCAGCTGTCCTAGAACTCACTAGGTGGACCAGGCTGGCCTTGAACTCACAGAGATATGCTTGCTTCTGCCTCAGTGTTTCTTTCTTAAGGTTTCATTTTATTTATCTGTGTGTGTGTGTGTGTGTGTGTGTGTGTGTGATGTGC